GAGAGAGAGAGAGAGAGAGAGAGAGAGAGAGAGAGAGAGAGAGAGAGAGAGAGAGAGAGAGAGAGAGAGAGAGAGAGTTTCATTTTGTGAGCAGGAATGCTGATCCCAAACTCCCCATAGCAAGTTCGGTGCTGCATAACTTCTTTTTATATGTCTTCTTCTTCTACCACTTTTTCTTCTTCGTCTTCTTCTTCTTCTTCTCCTCCTTGTTCTGTAGCCTTGTGTGGTATGGCTTCCTTCATGTTTTGTGCCGCTGCAGGTATGCATCGGTCAGTGTTGGCAGGAGGACAGGTACGCTGCAACCACCCCACTAACACACCCAGAAAACCCAGCCCCCCCCCCAACCCCAACCCCAACCCCATGAAAAAAAAATTTGCACTTTCATATTTTCTCTGCGGATTCAGGGAGATCTCGACAAGCGCAGTCCAACCCCATCACAAAAAAATTAGAATAAAAAAAATTCGACCCGGTTTTGGGCCCAACCGGAATTCCGGTCCGGTCCGGTCCAACCAACCGGCCCGGCTGTGACCGGTCCGGTCCAACCGGCCGGTGGCCGGTGCAGCCCTGGTTTATACAGCTAGGTTCATGTTTTCTGGAGCATGAATGTAGCACCAGTCGGGCCTGGCCCTTACTGCTGAGGCTAGGGGGGGGGGAAAGGTTTATGATCTTCTGACCTTGTGTTGTTTAATTTCCGTGCAGGGCCAGGCGCGACTGGTGCTACGTTCCTGCTTTGGAAAACATGAACCTGGCTGTATGAATAGCGAGGTTCAATCAAGGGTATACGTCGCTTGCACTGTGGTGTACGTTGGAGATTTGGCGGGTGTTTGCTTGCTGGTACATTGATTGGAAGAAGAAAGGAGAGGTGACGGCTAAGGGGAGGGAGTGTGGGATGAAATCAGCCTCCCTATCAACCTCTCTTCACCTCTCAAGAGGTGCGCACATCCCTGATTGGTAAGTTAGTCGTTCGACTCAGAAAATTAATGCCTTCTGCATGCTGTGTTTACTTGCTTTTTTTTGTGGTGTTGCTTGGCTTTTTATTCATCAACAAATGACAACAATAATAAAACAGGTACTTGAAAAAAAAAAAAAGTTCCGGACGCTGGGGCCTGGTCCCCAGCATGCGTTTCTCCCCATGAATACATTGGAGCATTGCACCCCCCCCCACCCCCCACCCCACGGTCCCCACCCAAAAAAAAAAGGACAAAAAAACAAAAAAGAAAAAAAAGAAAAAAGATGGGCCCGGTCCCCAGCATGTGTTTCTCCCCATGAATAGATTGGGCCGGGTCCCCAGCATGTGTTTCTCCCCATGAATAGATTGGAGCATTGCACCCCCCCCCTTCCCTCCMCCSCYCMMAAAAAAARRARGWYMTWAAWGCTGGGCCCGGTCCCCAGCATGTGTTTCTCCCCATGAATAGATTGGAGCATTGCACCCCCCCCCTTCCCTCACCCCCCCCCAAAAAAAGGAGGTCCTTAATGCTGGGCCCGGTCCCCAGCATGTGTTTCTCCCCATGAATAGATTGGAGCATTGCACCGCCCCCCTTCCCTCACCCCCAAAAAAAAAAGAAAAAAAGATTCGGTTAACCTATGGCTGGAAAAAAAAAGGTCCTTAATACCTTATGTTCCTGGCTTCTCCATATTCATTATGGGGAGCATCAGGTCAGTTTCGTTTCTTCTCTATTGGCAAGTCGTTGGAAATGCATAGAATGACTCACCCACACTTCTGTTAAAACACCAGTTTGCCTGACGCTAAGTCGGACTCTTACTGGTTCACGTGGTAAGGCCATGATGTTTCGGGCTGAAAGGCCTTCCACGATTCAGACCCCAAATTCGGGTCACAGGGTCAGAGGCCCTGGCCAAGAAAGGACGAATTAGTCAAATTCAGAAAAGTCACGGTCGGGTACCTCAGCAGTCCAGTCCAACAGGCACCCAACAAACAGTCGCATCTTAGGGGCAAGAATCGCGTTTCATAATGGGAAGTCATATTGAAGAGTCACATCCCACGAATAAAAGGGAAGTTCCACAGGCAAGAGTCGTGTCCCAGAGGCAGGAGTGACAGTCCACAGTGAAAACCATTTACCAAAATTGAAAAGTCATGACTCAAAGGCCCAAGTGCGAGGCATAGGCCTCGATAAGCCCTACTGGGCCCCTATTTACAACAGGTCGGCCGCCTAAGTGAAGGCAGGTCCGACAGACGACAAGAGGCCTATTTCGGACTACTTGGCAACTGAGGGAAATTCAAGCAGTTGCGCAGCGCCAGTTGGTTGAAGGCGCCCAGGCCCTGGCCTCCTTTACTGAATGTATCTAAGTCAGGCCCTGGGCGAGATATGCAGCATAGGCCCAACTCAGACAGCGGGCAGTTGGGCACGGGTAACTGTCGGTGGCCCTGGGTCTAAATCGTTTGGTCTGAGGCTCAGCCTCCCTGGGCCTACCGGAAGCTTCTGGGCAGGGGGCCAGCGCAGCCAGGCTGCACGCAAGCAGGCTGGCCACTTCCATTTAGGAAAGGGCCAGCCCACACATTGGTCATTCGGGCACTGGCTGCTTTGTGCGCAAGCGCTGCTGCGCTATCGCCTGCCAGGCTCACGCGCTCACGGGCGAGCTGGAAGGAGCAGGCAGCCATAGCCGAGCGGCGCTGCTGTATGCTGGATGGGGCGCATGGTGGTCCTTGAGTGCAAGTGGCATCTGTGAGTTGGGGAACGAGGTTGTGAGTGATACGAGAGACATACCTGGTGCTTGACGGGTGCGGCATTGGCTGAGGTCTGCTCGTACTTGGGAAGCTGTTGATGTCATCAGCGGCATTGTAGTCTAGGCTAGATAGGATCTGCCATTCATAGTCTGGGCGCCGAGCGCCAGATAGGATATCAACATTGGTTCTTCGTTGATGATGATGAGACTATTCCAGCATTGTCAATTTTGAGCTTTTGGTGTGCTCTTATTTGGTGAAACTCGTGATGCAATTCTGCTTTTGCTTCAAGGTCAGGACTATCTGGTCTCATGTGTATGATGCTGTTTGATTGCTGGAGTTCGCTATTGCTCATCTTCCTTGCAATTTGGTATCGGAGCCGTGGTTCGGTGCGCTAATCTGGCACTTGTCTTCTGCCTAATGCGCTACATGCACGCGGTGTGTACGGTGAGCCACCGTGCCGTGGGATGTGTGTAGTGAGGAGGGCAAAGATAAGTAGGCGACCCAGGTGGAGAGGGGTTCGCCAGGAAGGCTAAGCGGTGATTATTGGGTGTTCGCAGTGTGATGAGAACTATCCGGTGTGTGATTGATGCTGAGGTGGAACGGTTGTGCAATGCTGGTTGTGCCGAAGCAGCGACTGGTCATCGCAATCAACATCGGGTCATCTGGTGAGAATATCTGTGGTTGGGGGCAGCTATTTTGAGGTATGTTGCACCTAACCTTATCTACCCTCTTCGACACTTCTTACCGTGAGGATGTGTGTTCTGTCCGTGGGAGAAAGCGGGTCTTAGCGAGGACGTGTGGAGAGACCGGTACACCCGGCAAGCTTGCATTTGTTGTGGCCAATATGGTCATAACCAATTCAAGTGCCGTAAGAGGAAGGTGACTGGAAGATCCTGCCTACAATGGGGCAGGCGTTAGGATCCTCCACTCCCGTTGGTAGCAATGTGGCCAGCAGTTTTGGCACTGCTCCGGGAAACGCGTCGGGCCAGTAGGAATGGTAGCTGTTCCTGCTGGGGTCGACGTGGTGGACACACCCTCACCATCTCGAGAGATGGCCCAAGCTACTGACTCCATCGTCATCCCGCAAACACATTTTGACCCATCAAGCCTTTGTTCGATGAATGTGTTTGAATCCTTAGAGGAGCTAGAGGAGGAGTGGTCTAGATCAGACCCACTAGCTTCTTGGACGACAATGGCCAAAGCCCCTAAGAGAGAGATGTTTGTCGGCGAGGTAGTCATCGGTGGCCGCAAGGCCGGGGCCTATTATGACACTTGCTCGACTAGGAACTTCATTAGTCGCACGTGCGTTGAGAGGCTGCGCTTACAGGGGCGAGTGCAGCGCCTGAGTCGACATGTGCCACAAACAGCGCATGGCAGTCAACGACTACCTCCAGGATGTTGAGTGTTGTTTTTCGTACGCGGGAGGGGAACTGACACATCGCATCTCGTTCCTAGTGAGCCATGATCTCCCTATGGATATCTTGTTAGGTATGTACTACCTCTCCGTGGCACAGCCCCAGTTTGACTGGGACCGAAAAGTGGTCAAACACACTTTGCTAGGTGGAGGGACCGCCAGATTACGTAAGTTTAAAGCTAGTAGTTTGAGTCCCACGGATGCATGTGTGCGGCCGCGTTCTATAATTATTATAAGCAAAATCCGGAGGCGGGTATGTATCTAGTTTATGTCTCTGCAGCAGGCGAGCCGGTGAAAATGCCGCTGGAGATGGAGGGAGTAGTTGCCAAGTACCCTGATCTATTTGAAGAGCCTACAGGGGTTGTTGAGAGGGAGGTTGTCCACGCGATAGAGATTATCCCAGGGTCTAGTATCCCAAAGGGTGGGATCTATCGGACGTCTCCAGGCAAGCTTGATGAGCTTCGTTGGCAACTCAAGGAACTCTTGGAGAAGAGTTGGATCCGACCGAGTGTTTCCCCTTATGGATCTCCAGTCCTATTCGTATCGAAGAAGGGGGGAACACTAAGGATGTGCATTGACTATAGGGGCCTCAATGCCATCACTGTCAAGAACAGGGAGCCCCTACTGCTCATCGACGACTTGCTCAATAGAGTGCAAGGGTGTCGGTACTTCAGTAAGATAGATCTGAAGTCCGGGTACCATCAGATTGCAATCCGGCCTTAGGATCAACACAAAACCGCATTTCAAACCAGGTACGGTCTGTACGAGTTTGTGGTGATGCCTTTTGGCCTTCTCAATGCTCCTGGCACCTTTCAGCACGCTGTGAATCAAATATTTCATGACTACTTGGATAAGTTTGTCATCATCGTGTACCTCGATGACATACTTATTCTTAGTACGACTGTCGAGGAGCATGTATTGCACTTAGACAAAGTCCTCAGTCTCCTTCGGCAACACAAGTTCAAGATAAACGGGGAGAAGTGTGAGTTTGGCTGCACCCATATCTTGTACTTGGGTCATGAGATTTCCGCGGAGGGATTGAAGCCCGATGACGCGAAGGTGGCCAGCATTCGTGACTGGCCGCGTCCTCAGTCTGTGACTAAGATGAGGTCCTTCCTAGGGATGACAGGCTACTACCGCAATTTTGTTCAGAATAGTGGCCGCCCCTTTGACGGACCTGACTCGTCTTGACACCCCTTGGGAGTGGACAGACAAGTGTGAGGCTGCTTTCAAACATCTGAAGCATGCGTTGACACACCACGAGGTCTTGAAACTTCTCGATCTTGACAAGCCATTTATAGTAACCACAGATGCTAGCCAATATGGCATAGGCGCCGTGCTCGCGCAGCAGGAGGGGAAGAAGTTGAGGCCGGTAGAGTACATGTCCAAGAAGATGCCCTCTCAAAAGCTCGCTAAGTCCACCTATGAGAAGGAGCTCTATGTGATCTACAAAGCGCTCACCCACTGGAGACACTATCTCCTTGGCCGCTTCTTCTATGTCAGGATTGATCATCAGACCCTGAGATGGATGAAAACTCAACCTGTACTCTCCGACGCTCGTTGGATCGAAGTCATTGAGCAGTATGACTTCGAACGCCAGTACATCAAGGGGGAGTACACCAAAGTTGTTGACGTGCTGTCGCGTAGACCAGACTTTCTCGGTGCGCTGGTCATCGAATTTGGGCTTGAGGACAATGTAACTCAGTCTTTGGTGGATGCCTATCGCGAGGACCCGTTTATGGCCGAGATCATACGCAGACTCGAAGCGAAGGACAAAGAGACTTCTGCCGAGTTTGAGTTGATCAACGGCCTGCTGTTCTTTGAGAAGGCCGGGAATAAGCGTCTGTGTGTTCCCAATAGAGAGTCTTTGCGTAGTTTATTTCCAGGTGAGTGTCATGATGCCACCGGACATTTTGGCTTCAAGAAGACTGCAACCAATCTGCTGCAGCGGTTCTGGTGGCCCACGATGATGAGAGACGCAAAGCTGTACGTGGAAACTTGTCAGGTCTGTCAGAGGGACAAGCCACGTACACAAGCTTCTCTTGGGCTTCTAAAGCCCCTTCCGATTCTGTGAAGGGCCGGTGAGAGCCTGTCCGTGGATTTCATGGATACGCTGGTCACCACCAAGAGTGGAATGCGCTACGTCTATGTCATTGTGGATAGTTTTAGTAAATACACTAGGTTAGTCGCAATGCCTGCAACAGCTAAAACTGAGTATGTGATCAAGCTGTTCAAAGAAAATTGGGTCAGAGATTTTGGACCGCCTAAATTTATAATTAGTGACCGGGATGTGCGATTCACCAGCGAACTGTGGAAAGCCGCAGCTGCAGAACAGGGCACGCAGTTGCAAATGACATCGGGCAATCACCCAGAGGCGAATGGGCAGGCAGAGCAGTTGAACCGCTCTATACAACACCTGCTGAGGCATTACATCAAGCCAAATCAGGTGGGCTGGGATGAGAAACTTGCTCTCATCGCCAGCCTGTACAACAACGCTGTGCACATCGCTACGGGAGTGAGCCCGAACAGCTTGCTACTGAATTTCAAGCCTAGACTGCTTTTGGACTTCCTACTACCCAAGAATCAGTCATCTGCTGCACCAGGGACCTTAGAGTTTGCTTATCGGTGTGAGCGCCTGATGCAGCAGGCTGTTGAGCAAATGCATAAATCACAGGCGGCGATGATAGAGTCAGAGAACAAACACCGCCGTCCATCTACATTCTAGGGAGTAGAAAGAGTCTGTGTTTAGTCCTCAGAACTGGGACAGGAGCACGGGATCTCCCGTAAGCTCATGCCACAGCACTTTGGACCATGGGAGGTACTAGATGTCGTTGGGGATGAACTGGATGGCCCTTCTTATTTTATTCGTATCCCTGGTCACTTACGCACTTACCCTGTTTTCCACGCTTCCAAGCTCGCACCTTTCAGGGAAACCGATCAGTTTCGTCGCTCAATGCTGCCCCCAACCATGAATGGAGAGGTCGACATCAACGACATCGTCGACTACAAGGAAATGGCAGTTCGAAGACCGACAGGCAGGGGACGTCCTCCAAAACCGAAACTGCAGTACCGAGTTCGGTCCAGACATCATACTGATCCTAAGGAGGATAGATGGTTCGCACGGGAGGAACTGATGCAGACCGTTCCGCAGCTTGTCGCTCAATATGAGAAGTCTCTGCAAAAAGGAAAGCGCCAGATTACCGAAGATTGAACTTCTCAGAGGACTAGCGAAGTATGGAGGAGGGAATGCTAGGCATAGGCCTCGATAAGCCCTACTGGGCCCCTATTTACAACAGGTAGGCCGCCCTAAGTGAAGGCAGGCCCGACAGACGACAAGAGGCCTATTTCGGACTACTTCGCAACTGAGGGAAATTCAAGCACTTGCGCAGCGCCAGTTGGTTGAAGGCGCCCAGGCCCTGGCCTCCTTTACCGAATGTATCTAAGTCAGGCCCTGGGCGAGATATGCAGCATAGGCCCAACTCAGACAGCGGGCAGTTGGGCACGGATAACTGTCGGTGGCCCTTGGGTCTAAATCGTTTGGTCTGAGGCTCAGTGTTACATGCTGCGCCTGCACACGAGGGCCATTTTCCAGGCCCTGCGTCCCTCAGGCTTAAAGCCTGAAATTCAGGCTGAAAGCCTGAAAACTAGGGCCTACAGGCCCCGTGTCTGTTCAGCCCGAAAGCCTGAAAAACAGGGGCCTACAGACCCTGTGTCGTTTCAGACTAAAAATGGCAATAGCCTTTTTAGCCTGAAACGAAGGGCCATTTTCGGTCGTTCATCAGAACGACCGGCCCTGAAACTCAGGCACTGAACCAGGGTTTCGGGAACAGGCTATTCTTAGCCTGTTCCCACGACAGCCTCAGCAGATGCTGCAGCGCCAGCCCCTGGCACACTTCGGCATTGGCAAGAGAAGCCTCCTCGGCTGGGCTCGGCCTGCAGGCAGTCAGGAGGCAGGCTGAGGTAGTACATAGGGACTTCCCATGCACTTCACGGGTAGGCACGAGGTAGTCAGTAGTCTTCAGGATTCGGCAGCAGCACTCTGGAGGGAGCGCTGCAGGAGTAGTAGTAGCGTTAGCATTAGTCTTCAGCGCTGGGCGCAGTAGGTAGCTGTAGTCTTCAGCACTGGGCGCCATAGCTAGGATAGCACTAGAGAGAGAGAGATTGGGCGGAGGCCAGGAGTACCTACCTCCAGCGCCGTTGCTCCAGCTTCATCTTCGAGGTACCTGCAGCACAGCGCCAACTTCACAGGTTAGTATCTGGCTCGTGACAGAGAGAGAGTTCTTCTTCTTCCTCTTCTCAGTCCACCATCTCCCTCTCACCCTGTTGCATATTGTAAAGGTGCAGACCAGAACAAGAATTGACCTCTCTAACAAAGTACAAGATAGCGCAGCGGAAAACTTAGATACCAATGATCCGAACAATCAATATTGCAATGCAGCCCAGAACATACATCATCATCATCATTCCATGGTGTGAAGGGGTCTGGCGCTCACACAGGAAGAATGTGCCAGCGCCAACCATACACAGATGAAAAACAGGAGGGGTCAGACGAAGAAGAGGGGAAGATGGGAATGTCGTCGACACCAAGTCTTTGGCACAGGCCCAAATAGTCCCTCGTCAAAATGTCTGAATCCCAATGTCGAGTCTGGATCCACTTTCGTCAAGTCTCAAGTCACAACTCTCTCTTTCTCTGTAGTAGTCCGCTGATACTGAGAAGTCAGGTGGTGAGAGGGGAAGAAGAGATGGTGGACTTAGAAGAGGAAGAAGAAGAACTCTCTCTCTCTCTCTCTCTCTCTCTCTCTCTCTCTNGACTTAGAAGAGGAAGAAGAAGAACTCTCTCTCTCTCTCTCTCTCTCTCTCTCTCTCTCTCTCTCTCTCAGTCCGGTACTAACCTGTGAAGTTGGTGCCTTGATGCAGGTACCTCGAAGATGGAGCTGGAGCTATGGCGCCACAGGTAAGTCCCACTGGCCTCCGCCAGCCATCTCTCCCAACTCTACTACTACCACCTACTAGCGCCCAGCGCTGAAGACTACTGCTATGGCTACTAGCACCCAGCGCTGAAGACTACTGCTAGCGCTAAGCTGCCCTGCAGCGCTCCTCCTGAGTGCTGCGGCCGAAATCCTGAAGACTACTCCTGCCTTCTATCCAACTACCTACCCGTGTAGTGCATGGGAACTCCCTATGTACTACTCGGCCTGCCTCCTGACTGCAGGGCGAGGCAGTCAAGGAGGCTGCTCTTGCCAATGCCGAAGGGAGTTAGGGGCTGCCGCAGCAGCTCTTGCTTGAGGCTGTTGGGTGGGAACAGGCTAAAGATAGCCCGTTCCCGAAACCCTGGTTTTGTGCCAGAGTGTTAGGACAGGTGGATCTTACGAGGGCCCGAAAGTGGCCCTCCGTTTCAGGCTGAAAAGCCTCAGGGCTGAAAAGCCCTGTTTTAGGCTGAAACGACATAGGGCCTGCAGGTCCTCGTTTTTCAGTCTTTCAGGCTGAAATGACAGGGGCCTGTAAGCCCTTATTTCTAGGCTTTTAGGCTGGGAATGCGGGACGGGCCCTGCAGGCCCGTGTGGCTACGCAGTATGCCACACCCCCCCCTCCTTGAAAGACCGAGCTTACCTGCGAGGGCGAAGCTATCTGTCTGAGGGAGGGACCACAGTCCGGGTGGTAGGGGCAGGTTGTGAAGGTCCCTGAGCTAACCTTTGTCGCTCGCAGTGAGCGTAGATCAGCGGTGCGGATGCTTTCAAATTTGTTCCTGAAACCCACCGAGTGTCGTCGGGATCGCATGCTCTGAATGTAACGTTGTACTGGCGAGGCTTGCTGCTGTACTTGCGATCCGTGATGACGCGGTCAACTTCCTGATGACCATCCATAGATGGAGGGTCCTGCGATCGTCGGCCTGGGAAGTCGTCGCTCTTAGCTGGTGTATATGTTGCCAGCTTCGAAGAGTGAAAGACTGGATGGACCGTCAGATGCGCAGGGATGTTGATCACAAATGAAGGGCCATTGGGCTCATCGCCCGCGGCTGATGTTACGGGCCATGGTCCAAACCACTTGGGAAGCAGTTTGCGTGAAACGTCTTGTTCCAGTGCAAACTCTTTCGCGGAGACCCAAACCAGAGCACCGGCGCGGATGGGACATGGCACGCGACGCCTGTTGGCTTGCCGGTGCATGCGGACTTGAGCCTTTTGCATGTTCGCGCGGGCTTGAGCCAGCAATTCCCTGTACTTCCGGACGGAAGCGGGAGAGCAAGCGGCGTCAATGTCGGCTGGTCGTGGGAGGAGAAGGTCGGTGAAGATACGGCCTTTCCGTCCACCGTGGTGCAACTCGAATGGAGTCACGCCGATCGCCGGGTGCACCGAAGTGTTGTAGGCGAACTCGATGTCGGGGAGGCGGTCAACCCAATCTTTCTGGTCCGGACAGATGAGCGTACGAAGCATCATTTGAGCGGTTTGATGTGCCCTGTCCGTTTGCCCGTCCGTCTGTGGATGCCGAGCCGAACTTGGTTTCATCTTCGTGCCGGACTCCTGCATGAGAGCAGTCCAAAATGCCGACATGAAGCGAGTGTCGCGGTCGCTTACTATGTCTTCCGGTACACCGTGGCCACAAATCCAACCGGTGTGCAAGAGGAGTGCCAGCTTGGGAGTCGTGGAGTAGTACTTGCAAGGGAGAAAACGCGCATACTTACTCAAACGGTCCACAACCGTGAGGATGCTGTCGTGCCCGAGGCGATCGCGGGGAAATGGTCAGGTGACATCCATGGCAATGGAGAGGCCGGGTTCCCATGGGATAGGCATCGGGCGCAACTCGCCGCAGGGGTTGCGATTGCGGGGCTTGCTTCGTCGGCAAACTTCGCAAGAGTCGCAATACCGAGTGACATCGGTAATGAGGTCGGGCCATCGGAATCGTTGTCGAAGTCATGCAATAGTGCGGTTGACTCCATACTCCCCGAGAAGGCGAGTCCGAAGACGACGGTCTCGTGGGACACACAATAAGTCCTTGCCTCTCGAGTGGAGGAGCAAGTACCCATCGACAATGCGATAGTGGCTGGCTACGCATACAACGTGGCGAAGTCCGGATCAGACTCATAGCCCCGGATGAAGTGTCGCTGGAGTTCCTCGTCGAATGCGAAGGCATGATGTGTCATAGTGCAAAGATGAGGTCTTCGCGAGAGTGCATCTGCTGCGCGATTGGAGAGGCCGGGGAGATGTTTCGGTGTGAAGTCAAATTGGTTGATGAAGTACATCCATCGTCCGATCGTGCTGCTCACCGTATCTTGCGCCTTGTAGTAGGTCAATGGGTTGTTGTCTGTGACCCATGTGAACCTACGACCAAGGAGGAAGTGCCGCCATCGCTTGTGATTCATCACGAACGCGAGCAGCTCCTTCTTCCTTGCATCATCAAGTGAATTGATGGGAGGCACTTTGTGGCTGAAACACTCCACAGGGTTCCAGTCGTCGCCGTCGCGTTGTTCCAAGACTGCTCCAATGCCATAGCCAGAAGCGTCAGTTGTTACTCCCGTAGGCAGGGTGGGGTCATATATGCTAAGGACGGGTGCCATGAGCATGGCCGTCTTAAGTGCTTGGAATGACCGGCGTGCGTCGTCATCGAATACGAATGGCACCTTTGGCGATTSTAATCTCGTCATAGGTGCAGCAATCCTTGAGTATCCGGTGATGAATCGCTGATAGTAGCCCGCCAACCCCATGAATGAACGAACATCCGTGGTGTTGGTGGGCTCGGGCCATACGCGGAGGGCCTCGATCTTGTCCGCAAGCGGACGGATGTCTTGCGGCGTCACGTAATGTCCCAAGTACTCCAGCTCCTGCCACGCGAATTCGTATTTGTCGCGGTTGGCTTTGTACTTGGCTTGTCGTAGCCGCTCCAAAACGGTGCGGCGGTGTTCCACATGCTCGTCCAAACTCCGGCTATACACCAAGATGTCGTCGAGGTATATAAGTATGAATCGATCCAGCATGTGTCGGAACTCCGTTGTCATCGCCGCTTGGAAAGTGGCCGGGGCATTCGTAAGGCCAAATGGCATAACCAGCCATTCGAATGCCCATATCGCGTCTTGAACGCGGTCTTGTAGCGGTCCTCCTGCCGAATCTCGAGTTGGTGATATCCCGACTTGAGGTCAAGCTTGGAGAAGAACTTGGCGTCGCCCCGTCGTTCGAGAAGGTCGTTGATGCGTGGAAGAGGGCCGACGTTTTTGATCGTTTGCACGTTGAGCTTCCGATAATCGATGCACAACTGCAAATCCTTGTTCTTCTTCCGGACGAAGAGAACGGGAGCACCGTATGGCGATGAGCTAGACCGAATCCAGCCTTTCTCCAGAAGGTCGTCGAGTTGTGCCCGTAGCACCTATGTGTCTATTCAACGGGCAACGGGAAAGTTTCAACTCCGTTGTACCCGTTGAATAGCCCCCGGGGCCCCGTTGAATTCCCGTTGAATGGTACAACGGGCCCTCCCCGTTGAATATTGTTCAACGGGGAGGGTGCATTGGGCCTCGGACATGACGCTGGACGTACGTGAACCAAAAAAAAATCGTCCCGTTGAATCCCGTTGAATCCTCATTGAATCCCCGTTGAATCCCCGTTGAATCCCCGTTGAATCCCGTTGAATCACCGTTGAATCCCGTTGGGAAAACAAGACGGACATCGACCAAAAATTCCGGAAAAAAACTATGTTATGAAGAAAAATAAATTGAACAAATTTTGCCTCAGGGTCACATCGAAAATCTTCACCAAATTAAAAATAAAAAATAAAATATAAAAATAAGTTATTTATTTATTTATTTTTTTACGTATGTGTGTGTGCGTGTGTGTGTGTGTGTGTGTGATCGGGTGGGGGTGGGGGGGGCGACCCATCCCCTACCAATCGATCAATTGATCAATCAATCAATCAAAAGAGAAAAAAAAAGTTAAAAAAAAAGGGGAAAACCCGCTTTTTTCGTTATTTTTCCTTTTCCTTTTTTTTTTTTGATTGATTGATTGACTGGTGGGGGATGGGGCGCCCCCGCAACCCCCACCCAATCACACACACACACACACACACACACACACACACACACACACACACACACACACACTTGCGCTGAAGTTGGGCGGGGTCCCCGCCCGCGCAACTTGGGCTAAAGAAAGTGAGTGTGTGTGTGTGTGTGTGTGTGTGTGTGTGTGTGTGATTGGGTGGGGGTTGGGGGGGCGACCCATCCCCCACCAATCAATCAATCAATCAATCAATCAATCATTCAATCAAAAAAAAAAAGGAAAAAAAATCTATCTGTTTTTTTTGAGTCTGGTTTAGTTTTTGATTTTTTAAAAATAAGTTTAATGCTCAAAAAATAAACATAAAAATATGGGGATGTAGAGAGCAAAAAAATCTACACCCCCATATTGTTTTTTTTTTTTTCACCTATGTTTTGCGTGCAAAAAAAAAATCCGCGGGCCGAGTTGTACCACGTTCAACTCGGTTCAACGGGGAGTTGAAACGGGAATTGAATGGGAGTTGAACCGTTCAACTCAAAACCCCCGTTGAATTCGATTTCGGACACATAGCGTAGCACACTTAACTCTTCCTCGCTCATTCGGTAGATGCAACCACGCGGAGGTACAGCCCCGTCCTTGAGGATGATCTCGTGGCGGATGGGCCGATCCGGTATTACTCCGTGCGGGCTTTCAAACACGTCGCCGTAAGCGTCGAGAAGCTCGGTGATGCGTGGGTCCGAAGATGAGTCCGTCGATGAAGCGTCGTGGGGCGGGAGGGCGTGGAGAAAACACACCCCTATCTCCTTGATGTCGTTTCTGATGATGGAAGCTTCCAAGTCTGCGGCGGACACCACGTGGCAGCTGATCGAAGGGTGAGGAGGAGCTACCGTGCACGAGACTAGTACTCCGTTCCGATCACAGACGTGAACGGTGCGGCGGTAGAAGTTCACCGGGTAATCCTCGCTTCGCAGCCATGACATGGCCAAGATCATGTCGAATTTGGTGTCCAAAATATCGAAGGACACCGCCTCGCTTGCATGCGGGGCAAAGTACACGGGGACGTCATCTATGCACCAGTCAATTGACTTGTGCGTGTGACCGTCTGCCAACGTGGCTTGCGTAGGCTGGGACTTCTTCCGGACACGTGAGCCAAGGCCGACGCGTACCATAAAGTCCTGGCTCATGTAGTTGCGAGATGCTCCGCAATCGATCAAAGCGCTGCAGGTCGCCTCTCCGATCTGAATGAGTACATATAACAATGGTGCGTCGATGTCGTCGTACCGTTGTCTTGAACTCGCGGTCGATCTTCGCGATGTAGGCGTGAAGGTCGACAACCTCTACTCCGGCGTCCATCAACGGAGTTGGTACTGCAGTGTGCAAGTAATCCCGCAATTGTGCCATGAGCACGCTGCAATGCGGTTTCGGCAATCGACCGGACCGGGGAAGGGGCATCCATTGGAAGTCCGCAAATGTTAACGGGTCGAGCTCTTCAAGTCTTGACCATGACGTTGAATCCCCGGCGGTAGATGGCGGCGAAGCTGCCGAATCAGTTGCCGATGGTGATGAAACCGTGCATGCGGTAGATTGTTGCACGTGGAGCGGTTGGTCCAACAGTGGGACCAAGTGGACAGCATAGTCCTCGTAAGTGTGCCGAAGACTTGCAACATTCGCATCCTCCCTAGATGTGTAGGAGGCCGCTAGCAAGGCGGCCGAATCTGGCGGAGTGAGAGGTGGAGTCGCCTCACCTCCCGCGGAACTCAGTTTCCCGAGGTGATACGAGGCCGAACATCCTCCTTGCCTTGATCCGGGCATTGGGAGGTCTTGTGCTTGGTGCTGTTGCACCAATAGCAGCAGCCGTAGCGGCCGCGCCATTTGTATTCCGCCTCGGTCAAGTGAAACTTGACCCATGGTGCTGGCTGTCCATTTCCGGCCGGCGATGCGGTTTTTGCCTTCCCGTTTCCTCGGGACTTGTTGTTGCTTCGCGGCTGGACAGCAGCCACCTGATCTCCCTCATGTGACGCTTGGGTGGCTGCCGGGTCTTCCACAATGTTGTCCGATTGGACTGCAGCGACATGCTGCGGTCACGGACCAGTTCTCACCTACTCCTCATACGTTGGCTGCCATGCTGATTTCTCATGTGCAGCTGCCCTGTTTGTCTTGATGATCTCCCTCGCCTTGTTGATGATTTCAGCGAAGGTGTTGTACTGCTCGCGATCACCAAGTGCGAGGCTCAAAGCGGCGCATGACCGGTTGTAGAACTCCAGGCGCAGATGCGGAAATGGTGAGTCCAGATCGGGCGTCGCCACAATCTTCTGCCAATCCGTGAGCCAATAACGTGTCACTGTGTTTCCTTGAGCCATCGTGAAGATGCGGTTGATGGCGAGCGTCGGGGCGTCGTCAACGATGAACCGCTTCTTCCATTCCTTTGCCAGATCCTCCCAGGAGACCTTGTGTAGGTCGAAGACCTGGATGCCGTGGATGGTTGCCATATGACTGAGCCAGATCTGGCATCCTTCCTTGGCGTTAAGGAACAGCGCGCCGATGAACAGATGTTCGGGGACCTCATGAATCCCCAACTCCGTTGTGAATCCTTGCCACCAGATGACCGGGTCTTGATGTGTGTAATCATTAAACTTCTCGATCCGGAAAGTCGACATCTTGTAATGCTTCGCCGTGCTGGTGCTGCGATCGGGGTCAGATGGCTGTTGTCGCTGCCTGATCTCGGTCTTCAGTGTGTCCAGCTGCTGGCTGATGGTGGCTGGCGCTGTGAAGGTGCTAATATCACCTAGCATTGCCACTACGCGATCAACGCGTTCCTCCAGTTGGCAGGTAGAGGGTGCACTGCTGGACTCGCCAGCCTCCGGTCTTGGTGCAATTTGCTCCAAGTCCTGCATACGGGAATCAAGTGTCCGTGCTGCATCCTCTTGCTGAGCCTTGTGGTTCCGCAAGGCCCGCTGCATATTCGCCAGCTCGGACTGCAGGTGGTTACAATTGTAAACCAACCGAGTCACGAGTTTGGCCATGAATTCCCTGTGCTGCTCTTCCGGTGTCGCGTCGTCGTGCTCTTCAGATGGTTCAAAGTGCCAATACTTGAGCTTTTCGATGCTGGTGGCTTCATGCGGCTGCAGCAGATCCTGGGCTTCCTTACGGCGTGCCTGGGTATCTGCATCTGCTTCGCCCTGAAGCCGCTGCTTCTCAGCTGTTGCCGCTGCTTCAGCCTGTAGGCGGGCAGCCTCGGCTGCCAGCTGGCGCTGTTCCTCAGCCTCGATCAGTGCGAGCTGAGTCTGGAACCGCTGTTTGTAGTCGGCAATAGACTCATTGGCCAGTTGGCCTGGCATGCCCAGATGTTACATACTTCAATGAGTATGGGCAGAACCAAAGATCAACCAATATAGGATGAGCATGTATGCAGCGGAAGTCTGATAACGAACTGACTCACATAGACTGACTCACATAGACTGACTCACATAGCATCACTCCACACACATACAATTGTGAGATGGTGGGGTCTGAGCCATACAAAGAAGGTGCTCAGCCCCGTACACAACATACACAGATGAATGGGGGAGGAGAGACGAAGGAGGTGGGGTAGGTAGACAGCACTAAAAGTCACCGAGATAGAATCTGATAGGTCACCGATATGGTAGTCCAAAATGTCATCCAACAAGATCAAAGTGTCGAGGACGATAGGTCACCAATGTCGGAGGTACAGAGTCCAAATGTAACCGGTGTCCGAACTTTGATGCAGCCGAGTATCAGCCCCAACAATCTCCAAGTCTCCAATCAGGTAAGTACCACAGTCTCATATCACCGAAGTCCAACTCTGATCTCTGTCCAACTGGATAGTCTCCAATCTG